TCTCAAGCGGTCGGTCACTGGTAGATACCACATTACCAAGGCAGGAATTCTTCTCTGCTTTGCATCGTTGCTTAATCGAGTGTCCTCTGGGGGCTGAGATTCTTGTACCACCTTTTTTGTACCCTTCTTATTCCTCTTTTTCCCCGTGGAGGCTTCGTCCCCACCGTAAAGATCATTATTTTTGTACCGGCTGGCCCCACACCGGGGACATTTATCCAGTGACTTGAACATTTTGCCACGAAAAAGGATACAGTGGTTGGGGCATGTATGGATTTTTTCAACCCCCATTGTCAATAGACTTATGACCTTCTTCGCTTGGTATGTGTTGGCGGGAACTGAGTTTTATTGTGGCAGCACCCATGACAGGAGATGCAATAGATCATTGAAACTACAACTGACCAGCCGTACTTAGCCTTCAGGATGAGTAGCTCAAGCACAAAATGTAGTAGTGTCGGATAGCCCTTTTCAACACCATACACTGTCTCCTTCGATGCTTTTGTCACCCTTTCCAAATTTTCTAGACCTTTCGGGCTCTTTAGTAAAATCTCTGGTCAAGGGTTCGAATCATGTCCTCCAAATCAGATTCATCCCCGACACGTGCTCCGCCATCATTATTGGCACCACCTTCGTCGTTACCATCCCAACCACCAGCATCACCACCTTGTTCATTGTCAAACTCGGGATCCATTCGTGCATCAAGCTCTACTGAATATTGGGACAGGGATTCTAGGGTTTCGTCGTCGTATTCCGCCTCATCCTCGTCGTTAACAATAACCGTTTCACCATGATGAATCCACACTGTGTAGTTCTCAACAAATCCTCGCATAATCAAATGTGATCTGATGATAGTCACATCTGTCCATGACATACGGTTCTTGCAATCTTTACAGGGACAAATAATTGTATCCTTATTCTCTATCAACGTTCTTGCATGCTTCTCTGCGGCTTTAATAAATTTATCCACCTCTTCACGAAAACCTGCCTTGAACCTTAACGAACCATACATCCAAGAGTTCCTGTACTCCATCTTTTACAACAACAACAAAACAAACATTAAAGGACTACTTATTCGTATATATATATAAATGAATCAAATTAATAATTACTTGAGAATAATTGTATATACTTCAGATATATGAATATAAATCAAATATAATTACATGAAGCATACAAACACACCATGGTAGAGGAAAATTAATTAATGGCCCATTTATCCATAAATAATTAAAATACATATTTGTTGATTATAATAAACAATTTCAAAGACAACAATTAGCAACAATTATATTTTACCCAATATCTTTCATGCAAACCCTAGTCCAATTTCATCAAACATAAATTTATAAAAACAAAATTAATAAAAAAACTAAACCCTAGATCTAGATCTACATGCACATGAAACATCCATAAAACTAACTAATTGTTCACTAAAATTAAGAAACATGGATCAAATAAGGGTATGATCTTGTTCCCCTACCTTATTTACCCTAGTACATTCAAAACTTGGGTCTAATTTGCTTCATAAGTAGCTCAAGCACCATAGAAGAGAGAGAAAAGCAAAACTCTAATTACTCACTAACCAACTATTAAAACTTCAAAAAAATGTGGAATAATATTTTCTTACCTTCTACAACCTCTCCAGCAAAGGATTTGAGACCAAAACCTTTCCCCTTAGTAGAGCAATTTTTAGGAAGTGCCCAAGGCCTCCCTACCTTTTTTCACGAGTTGGAGTGAGTGACTCGAGGAGAAAGAAGGGGCTGTAGGTATTTAAATGCGCAACACGGGGGGCGGCTGGTGAGTGAGCCGCTCCTACAAATTGACCCATTTGTAAGGGCGGCTCGTATCATCAGCCGTCCCTACTGTGCCATTTGTAGGGGCGGCTGATCTCGTGGGTCCCGAGCACGCCCACTGTAGGGGCGGCTACATCACCAGCCGCCTCTACATGCGTCTGAAACACTTGCAAAAACACCTAAAAACACTTGAAACCATTGTAAACATACGTAACATCCAGATAAAACACTTGCATCATATGTGTGAAAATATATTGAATATCTAGATAAACACACTTGCAACATATGCCGAAAAAAACAGATGAAACATTGACAACAGGATCTTGCAACATACGTGTACAGCCATTGCAACATGTGCAATATCCCGATCTACTTTTGCAACATCTGTATAAAACACTTGCAACATACCTCTGAAACATTTGAAACACTTGAAACAGACGCTTGCAACATGTAGTTTCAGCGCAAACATCTCCTTGCCACTTGGAGAATGGAGGCTCGTCGGTATGTGGAGTTAGTGGCCCGGCGGTGCTTTGTAGGCAGTGGCTCGGTGGTGGCTGTGCGATAAGGAAGGAGGAGGCAATGCGGCGCGCAAGACCGTCATGAGGAGGTAGTGGCAGCGCCGCGAGCGACTTCATGCGACTCGCACTTGATTGATAGAGCCGACAAGAAGCGCCGCCGCGACTTCAGCAAGCACTTGCGCTACCGCAGATCCGTTAGGGCTGGCAATCGTGCGCCGCGTGCGGGAGTTGATTTTGTTTTTTTATTAGACGAGCGGTGCATGGGGCAGTGAGTGGAGCGAGACGTCCGGCCTGTACCGTATAATTTTTTTCAACGCCCCCCCAAGGTACAAAATGGTCACTCGTTGAGATACAAATAACAAGAAAAAAGTCATTTTGAACGATTGTTGTGAGGTTTGCAAGTGTACAAAAGACGATTATGGTTTCTATGGCTGATAATATGACCACGCGGAGCCACCATAGCGCTTAAAAAATGGATTTTCTTATACAGGTGACCCTTCTTTTTTTTGTTTTTGCCATGAACTATCTCCCTACAGTACAGTAGGCCAGTAGCCTGTAGCCACGATAAAAACGACGCAATTCGCTCTGGCCCAAGCGTACGACGTCGACGCCCCTCGTCGGTCTAGAACCTTTCGTTTCTAGAACCCATGATAAATCGCGCGCGCAGACACATCCATAGCAGCAAGCAAGCATGCATCGGCGTCGCCTAGCTGTAAATTTTTGTTGTGTAGTGGCGCCGCCCGCCGGGAGCACGGGAGGTTCTCACACTCACACGTCGCCGCTCTCTCGTTGCTGTTGACCGACCCAACCCAATGTATCGGAGCTAAGCTCGTCTCCTTCCGGCGCTGTACCAGGTGCATCCGTGGCGTGCATGGCCAAGTCTTACCCGACGCGGAAAGGGAAGAAGGTCAGACCGTTCATTCGTCGTCTGAGCACGCAGTCGTCACGGCGAGTCGGCGACTATTGGCACGTGTGCCGAGCTGGCGACTGTGCCTCGCGATCGGGCTTGACTCCGCCACGACGAGGCTGTCTGCTCTGAACAAGGACACCATCCACGGCAGCGGCGGAAAATTCTCGCGCTCATGGTCGTGCGTGTGTGCGACTGGTGAGTTGGCAGCTGGGCTTAGCATACAGGCCGGAGTATCTACGTCGAGGTTGTTGCTCGATCCGAATTCTGCTCTGGTTTTCTTCAATCTTCACCGAGCGAGGCCTTCATTCGATTCGAATCGAATCGATTGTGCTAATTTCTTTACTATCCATGAAAAGGATCCACACGACACGAGTTCACAAGAAGAGAGTTGGGAATGATCATTTTCTTGGGCCTAAATCCCTTGGTGTCTGCGTTCCAACAAGGGAGACATCAAGGGGACAAACCAACTGGCAGCAAAAACAACTGGAGAGGACGACCAAAAAGCAGAGAGAGAGAGAGAGCAGCATGGAGCGACAGCGACGCGGCGCCCGGTCCATACGTCATCTCAATTCGCCTAGTACTTTGACCCTCGCTGCCCTTTCCACGCCAGCTTTCCGCATTCCCACGCCCCCGTTTCTCATCTTCTTCCTCATTGCTGGGTTCTTTTTTTCTCCTTCTTAATTATTGCATCGCGCACCCTCAGAGACCCAATAATTGCAGTATCCCATGGTGTTTATGTGGTTTCAGTTTACGTTACAGCAGATTTTGGATCTTCTTCTACTGTCCTTGTCATTCCAGCAATGTCACGTACTGGTACTGTACTCCTGCATTGACACCGGTTTGGCACGGTGTGACTGTTCAAACTTGCTATGCGACTTTCCTATGTTTGTGGCACGTTTATTTACTGCCTAACCCGACGCATGAAAAGAGTTCTTATAATACAATACACTCTAATGTTGTCATGTATATAGGCCGAACTTACGTCATGTTCATTTGTCTTATAAGCCGTACTTTTTCAACCAACGAACATTATTTTTCTCTCACAACAAATTAACTAACAGTACTTTCAGCTATGACTTATCAGCCAAACGAATAGGGCATTAGAGTTGGCGCAAATTTGTCTTTCGCCGGTTTCCTGCACAATATTGTAATGAACAATTATAGCAAAATAGTGGAAGGATGATACATCATACGGTACATTACGCTTGAGTAATGTGACAGTGTCAAAAGGATGTTTTTGTTAGTGATATTTGTGCACAATAGCTTGTAGATGAGCTAATAAGTGTACACTGCTGGTTGTATGTACACTTATAGTTTATCTATCAACATACTCGTTAGCTCACTTGCGACCAACTCGTTTCTTTCATAAATTTATTGGTCCTTGTGCATAAGGTGACTATAAACTTACAACACGCTTCTCTTATCTACCTCAACATAAAGTTCACCTACAGCTGTTTCCTATACTTGCCCGAAGTAATCTCAAGCTAAGAGGGCAATTTTCCGAGTCCGGTACCTTTCAATCATGGAAATTTGAAATGGCCACCAGTAGCAGCAACACCCAGCGGGGCTCTTTCCGCAATACAGCAGTACTACAGGGTGTGGAACCAAAAGAGCACCACTGCCTATAATACCATTGGCCCCTCCCCACTGTTTCCTCGACGCTTTCCCATTCTTCTCCGTTCCCTCGCCTCCACTTCTCTCTGCACCCAGCGCCATTGCCCACTGCATTGCAGACGGACAGGACCAACAGCACCAAAGCCAGGAATCCACTTGGATCGATCCATGGGGAGGCGCGAGATGAACGGGCGGCTATCGGCCGAGTACCAGGGCCTGGAGGTGAAGGTGCCCAACCTGTTCCGGTGCCCCATCTCGCTGGACGTGATGCGCTCCCCCGTGAGCCTCTGCACGGGCGTCACCTACGAGCGCGCCTCCATCCAGCGCTGGCTCGACTCCGGCAACACCACCTGCCCGGCCACCATGCTCCCGCTCCCCTCCACCGACCTCGTCCCCAACCTCACCCTGCGCCGCCTCATCGCGCTGTGGGCGTCCACGGCCGCGCCCTCCTCTCCCTCCTCCTCCTCCTCCTCCTCACCGCCCGCGGCGTCGGCCGTCGGGCCCACGCCGGCCGCCGCCGCGGCCGAGCTCCTCCGCCGGGTCGCTGACCCCGGCGCCGACCCCTGCCCCCCGCTCCGGAAGCTCGCGGCTTTCCTCTCCGACGACGACGTGGACGAGTTCGACAAGAACGCGCTGGCTCGGGCCAGCGGCGCAGCGGAGACCGTGGCGTCCGTGCTGCTGCGGAGGTCGGCGGACAGGGAGGCCGCGGAGGCCGCCGTGCGTGTGCTGGCGGCGATCGCGGCGTCCGACTGCATCGAGGAGGAGAGCAAGAGGCGCGTGGCCGCGGCGCTGGCAGCCGACGCGGCGTCCGCGGCCGCGGCCCTGGCGCGCGTGCTGCGGAGCGGGACCTCGCTGGAGGCGCGCGTGGACGCGGCGAGGCTTGTGGAGTCGCTGCTCCGCAATGCGGCGGCGTCGGCAGTCCCGGGCGCGCGGGCGGCGGTGGCGGAGTCCGACGAGCTGGTCGGCGAGCTGATCCGCCTCGTGGGCCCCGCGGACGACGACAAGAAGAAGAAGAGCGGCGGCGGCGGCCTGGCCCTGGACAGGCAGGCCGTGGCGGCGGGGCTGTCGTGCCTGGCGGCCATCGCGGCGACGCGGCGCGGCGCCCGCGCCGAGATGGTCCGTCTGGGCGCCGTGCCCGCGGCCGTGCGCGTGCTGGAAGCCGACGACGCCGGGTCCACGAGCCAGGCGCTCCGCGTGCTGGAGGCCGCGGTGGGGTGCGCCGAGGGCCGCGCCGCGGTGTGCGAGTCGGCGGGGACCGCGGTGCCCGCGGTGGTGTCCAAGATGATGAAGGGCGGGATGGGCGGCGCGGAGGCGGCGGTGTCGGTGCTGTGGGCGGTGTGCCACCGGTACCGGGACCGGCGCGCCGTGGAGGCCGCGGCGGCGTGCGAGGGCGGGCTCACCAAGCTGCTGCTGCTGATGCAGAGCGGGTGCTCGGCGGCGAGAAGGCAGATGGCGTCGGAGCTGCTCAAGATCTTCCGGGTGAACGGCAAGAGCTGCGTCGCGGGGTACGACTCCAAGACCAGCCACATCATGCCCTTCTGATCCTGATCGGCGTCGGCGATGCAAGAGGGGAACCAACTCACATTTTTCTGTTTCATTCACTTTTCCAATTCCCATTTCTTGATTTTGATTCAGTGGAAGTACATAGAGCAGAAAAAAAAAAGAGAATCGCTTCTATTGGAGCAACACAAATTTGTACATGGGTAGAGGATTTTGGTAGAAAGAAAGAAAGAAATTAATGGATGAGGCAAATTCAGCTTGTCTGTTGGGGAAATCACTCTTCGTTTCAAATTTCAATCGTGAACCATGTTACTAGCCCTTCTACTACATGCAATTGGCGAAATGCTGCGACGAGGTTTTGATGTTGGATCAGCATCAGTGATCAGTCCGTCCGGCAAACTAAACATGCAATTTGCATGCCTCGTATCGTATGCGCTAGTCTAGTATAACGGTCGAAGGCGTCAAAACCTGGCTCGCACGAGTCCCGATTGCTTGACATCCAAACTTGTACCCCACTAGCATGCTTGGTAATATACCCTGGGTCCGTCCGATGGCGAGCAAAGGAAGTGGCCAACACGTTGATGAACGTAGTAGTCTTGCATTTGCGTCGGACAGCCGGATGGTCATCAGGTTTCCGTCTGACCGGGGCTGGTGTTGGCAGATTAGCATGCGAGGAAGCTACCAAAGGGCCCCCTTTTCTTTTCTTTTTCTTTTTTTTGATAACGAGGAAGGTACCAAAGGTTGGGGGAATGTGCATTGAGAAGCTGACTCAGGAAAGAGGGGGCAGGGTTGACGGACTTCATCATATATTATTAATGATACAACGAGGATCATGAATTCATCATCAATTGGAAAAGGAATCACAAAATCAAGCAGCCGAAGCATAGCGTCTGACTATGATGATCACATAATAATCTGCGTGAACCATGAGATTCATGTCTCGTATGTTATTGCATTGCCACGTCGCGTGGCCGTCGTCGTCGTCGGAGAGCAACTAGTCCTAGTATGTATTAGTCAAACAAAATCTTCCAAAGCAAAAAGTATTAGTCAAATAACACTGGGGAAGCAAAACAATTCACAAGAGCAAGAACAACAAGAAGCAGGGCAATGCGTGGTTCTTGAGGCAGGAAGACATGCATGTTCGCTCGCTCCTGCTGGTAGTTAGGATAGGAAAGAATACAGTATATATCAGTCCAGCACGGCACATGATCTGATATGAGATGCGCGTAAGAGACGTCCTGGTCCTGGCCCCTGGGGCCTGGGGGCCATCGGTATCCCACTCGCAATGATCACCAGGCCAAGCCTGTTCATCGGTTCTTTCTTGACAGCAGCCAGGAGCCCCACACCTCAAGCCATAGCCATGAAGGATTCAAGGGCAGCGGGGCAGGTCTCATGCAGGTCAACTTCACCACAAGATCGATGTGCATCTACAATCCGGTGCAGTGCAGAAATGGCGAGGCAGGAACCTGTTACCTGTTTGGGACCGCGCGGAGGACAGGACAGCATTTTCAACGTCTACTCTGCTGCCGCCACTAGCACACACTACTACGTAGCCAATCAATTGGGTACTGAAAAATGGACCTAAGACAGGTCTATAAGGAGGAACTTATATGGGCATTTAAACCTAAAATGGATAGCAAAAGAACTAAAACTAACCTCTAATAGAGTACCTATATGGAAGACATATTTTGGGTTGCTTGAGAGGTACAACCCAAATATGGGCATCCTCTCTCCTTAAAACTCATTTGCAGAAAGGATTCTTTTTTGGGTCTTATTGTTGGAGAAGATACCGAATAGGTATTGAACCTTTTACCTGTAGCGCTACCCAAAAGACGAATACGTCTTGTATTTTGGGTGTTGTTGTTGGAGATAGCTTAAAAGCCAGCGCAATGCCAACTTGTAGCATTAGCATGCATGAATGAATGGAGAGCTCCATTTGAATTGAGTTCATGGTGGTAGTACCATAAAGATTAAAGAGGTGAAGATCCAGCTGCCGAGCACCTAACAAAGTGAAAAAGCGGCAAACCAAGGGCGGCAGGTCGCCCAACACATGCATGCAGTGGAATCACGCGTGCGTCGCGCCTCCTCGCCTCTCTTCTCTCTCTCTTTTAACCCCACTTTCACTGCTTCAATTCTTCTTCCGTTCTTCCTCTCCAAGTTTTTTAAAAAAAAAAGAACTTCTGCACTGCAGCGCCTCTTTATCTGAGCAGTACGTACCGCTCCATTTCGTTTATGTGATGATGTATATAATAAAGAAAACGTACTTTCTTTGTTCCAAATTATATCCAGTCAAAGGTTGTTGTTCCGCGCCAGTGTGCCATGCTATTCGGGCGGCACAGCTAGGATGATACGCGGAGAGATCAGTAGCCAATTCTATTTATTATTTATGATTTGCCGCCATGAGATACGGCATCAGAGACGACTTGACCGCGGCGATAGCGATGCGATAGGATACGATGCTACCGGGGCACAACACAGGAAAGGTGCAAGGAAGGAACCGCGGAGGAAGCGAGCGGGGGCCCTGCCCTGCACTCGGCACTCGGCAAGCAAGTTGGGTGTGAGCATTTTGACTGTGTCGCCGCCAATAATGCAGGCTTAGGCCGTCCCAATGGTTCCCAAGTAGCTTAGGAAGAATTCTATTGTCTATCGGGAAAAGAGATTAAATAGCTAACGACTCTTAAATAGCTAGTCTACCATGATCTTAATTCTAAAAATAACTCTCTCACAACTCAAATAACTCTCCACTATAGTGTTATTTTTTTATTATTTCTAAGCTCAATCTAGCTAGCTATTTGAAAGTTGCCATTGAGATTATGCAAGTTGAAGTTGGCCTTGACCACAGTTTCTCTTCCTCGTACGCCGCCCCGATGGGACCCAGCAGACTGCAGGCTAGCTGCAGCAGTGTGGCTTCCTGCTCACTGGGCGGCTGCCACCCGCTCCTGCTAGGCCTGCTAGATTTAGCGTGGGCCAGGCCCATATATTATCTAATTAAATCATATAAAATTCTAAGGCCCGTATTAAATAATATGTGCAATATTATTAGTCTCATACGGGATAATGGCCGCCACACAATTTATATGTGTGGACTGTGTCTAGCTACATTGAGAAAGTTGAAAAAAAGGTGTGGCACGGCGTGGCATGACCAAACCCGAGCCTAACGTGGACGTGATGGGTGCGCGAATTGGTTTTTGCCACTCAAGCCAATTATGGACAGGAGTTATATAAGTTTCTAAGTTACTGGAGTTTCTGTCCCTAATTGAAAAAGTTAATGAGATGGTGATGAAGTTTCAGGAGTTTCCACTCCTAATGTGGAAACTTAATGAGGAGTTACGAGAGTTTTTCTCCAGACGTCGCACCTCTCCGTAGCATCAACATTCACTCAATCTTAGTCTCTCACGCGCATAAGTCTCCACACTTCCGTTGCATCCAAGGCTTCTCCATCCCGGTTTCTGCGAGCACGGGAATAGGAAGAGCAGGCCTCTGAAACCGAGTCGTTTTTGTGTTCACCTGCTCGGGTGAAGGCGGCCAGCTGGTTTTTGGAGAGCAACTACGCGACTGCTCGACCGTTCGACAACTTCATCTTCTTCTCGGCATTCGTGGCGGCAGCGGGAGATCGGCACTGCAACCTCGCTGCACTGCATTGAGTGGGACGACTACTCCAACAGGCGCTATGTCGACTAGAGCGACCGGCTCTGGTGCCGTTGGATATGTTCTAATTTATCCCCTATCTTCAACGGTTAAAATCATGATTATTAGTGTCATCTATATGAGATCATATCATTGCACGTGCACATATACGAGACCACAAACCTGTTTTTAGTCTTTTTCTAGATTAAATTAATGCTGAAATGGTCTAAATATCTAACAGGGCCTTCTTCGGATGCTGGTCATTGTACATGTTGTGGCCAGTCAGGCAGGCCAGATGATTTGTGTAACGCCCCAGGCCCGGCACACGGCACAGGCCCACTCTGCCGAGGGGTGGCCCCACCTACGTAGCAACCCGCTTGCACTTTCGTCCTCGCTTCGCATAAAGCCTCGGCACTACAGTACCCTCAGCTATAGCCTCGGGCCACAGCCCACACGCGCAGTTATAGTGCCTTGCCCAACCGGAATTCGGCTCAATTAGGCGGGAATGTTACAATCCAATCCACTGTAGCACGGGACGACGATACTGTAGTAGAGAAAAGAACACTGTAGCACCAAAATTAGTAAACATCGGAGCTGAAGCAGAACCGAACCAGCTGAAAAAGCCTGGACCTGGGAGGCTGTCAACTCCGGATCGATCCTTTTGCGCGAAGGGAGGACGAAAGCGCAAGCGAGTTAATTAGCAGGCGTGGTTCATTCAACGTGTAGAGTGGATCTTAGCCGTCATCCCGGGTCAAGGCGTTACAAATGGTATCAGAGCCAACTCTCGCGGTTTCACGGACATATGACTCGGGAGCTCGGACCGGTTGCGCATGGCTCTGCAAGAGCATGGCACTTAGACCGGGGAGCTGAGAATATAGACGTGGCCAAGAGAGTTGATCCTGGACATTTGTCCCGTTTGGGTAGGTTGGTTCGGCCCTCGACGAGGACGTCGAGTCCTCAAAGGTGGGTGTATGTGAGACCCCGCTAAATGGGCCAAGTTGGGCCAGTCTGGTGGGATGGGCTGAATTGATGAGATACTGTAGCTCGGGATGCAGGTGGTGTATCAACGAAAGCTACTGTAGCAACAGGACTTTAGTCCCACATCAGAACCAGAGGAGGTGCCGAACCAGCTTAAAAGTCTGAGCTTGGGAGGAAATTAACTCCGGTTCGAACCTTTTGCGCGAAGCGAGAACGAAAACGCAAGAGAGTTAATTAGCAGGTGTAGTCTATTCAACATGTAGAGTGAATCTTAACTGTCTTTCCAGGCTGAGGCGTTACAATTTGCTTGCTCCGAACAACCTAAACAATCTTATTATATGCAGAGGTTCTCTAGAAGGGGACAAGCTGGATCAGATCTACGAGTATATGTTGCAAAAGCATTGCTAAAACGAGCACCCCAGAGTCATAGAGACGCC